GGTTCCATTTACAGCATCAAAGTTGTAATGTACTTACAATACCTTCATTTAAGCATTCATTTGATTGTTCAAGTGTAAAACAAGATGAAAGACGAGCACAAAAACTCTGTAAGCGTGAAATAAATTGTCATATTGTAAAGACATGGCTAGGAAAAATTTGAATTTAATGCAGTGCTTCTTGTTTGGTCCAAGACCCACTACAAATTGTATATCTATCAGGAAAGTGAAAATAATTTTTTTTTTTTTTTTTTTTTTTTTTTTTTTAAAAAGAAATCAGACCTCAAACTTGGAAATATTATAATGGTAAGACAGTTCACCAGAAGCACTTAGGCTGGCTGGCTGAAATGAAAAGTCAGTGTGCACATTTCCCATTGTGGGAGTGATTTCAGTAAGCACCCACCAACGTTCCTTGATTAAACGGAGGTTATTAATGGTTATCAGCTGATAGATATGGGCCAGTAGGGGCCTTCTGCAACTACTGGTAGGCTCAAAAGGCTGTTATCATCCATCCACAATCAGGTTAATCAGCTATACTAATAGAGAAGACTCTAGATCCAGATCTGTTTTCACATTACTGTGGCGGTTGGGTTTAGGTTTGCGGTAGAGGTAGACGTTAATAAAATACAATTAATGGGAAATTGAATAAATAATATAAATAATTCTCATTAGCTTCAGACCACAGTCATATGTAATCTATAGCTGATTAACCTGATTGTGGATGGAAAATAACAGCCTTCTGAGCCAACCAGTAGGTGTAAAAGGCCCCTACTTGCCCATATCTATCAGCTGATAACCACTGATTCAGTCGTATGATAACTGTAAACAGTGAGATATTTAAAAAAAAATGGTTCCATGAGCTCCAAACAAGTAAAAGAATGAATGCAAACACAGACCTGCATACTGAGAGATAGAAAATTACTATAATGTAAGAAATAGAAAGAGAAAATCATCTGGGGAAAAAACACATAGAACTTTGTCTACTAAGCTTATGATACTAATGTAACGTTATTTTCATGACTGATAAAAATAAAATACAAAGCATATCCTTCCTCTGACTCCGTTTTTATTATCTATATGCATCATTTTAAGTGCAACCATATTATTTGACGTGATTTGTTACAGTTCTTTTGAATGGAAGTTTCCCAAACGAATTATGCAATCTATAATTTGAAATGCAATCATGACAATTACTTGTCTTGTCACAACATACAGATATTTTGTTAATCTGATTGCTTCCATCGTTCTGATTTATAGGTTGCTAGCGATTAAAATGTATGCCAAATAAATAATCAAAAAAAAAAATCCAAGTAAAGTAAGCTTGATAAAAGAAAGAACAAAATCAACCCTGAGGTCAGATTATACCATGTAGTTCTAGCACAGCTATTGGTTATTGATTTTAGGTTCAATTACATCCTTGTTTTAAGTTCATACATTTAAATGACTTTCCTCATGGTGATCATTCGAGTCACAGGTTCAATTGCCCCTGTGAATATCAGAAACAAAGCAGCCCACTTACAGTATTCAGTGAAACCTTTATCTGATGAACAAAAACCTACATACAATAATACAGGAGGACGCCTGTATATAATATGCTATGTTCAACCTCGGGCCAGGCTTGAAGGGATATAAGCGGTACTTTAAAACTCGGCTGCTTGTTTTGTAATTACTAACTAGTGCCATGAGGTGGATTTGTTTGCGGTTTTGCAAACTAGAACCGTCTGAAGGCGCCCGAGGCACTGGGTAAATTATTCCCCTGTTGTGTCTTGTGACTTGGTCCATATCTGATTTGGGCCTCTTTAAGCATGGAGAAAAAGGGAAGTTTTTCATCAGGACATATGCGGTTTAGTCTACTGGGAGCACAGGAACTCTACTGGAGTCATCGGTTAGACTGGCGGTCCTCGACCTAAGGCGTTGCTTCCGGAAGCATTCCCATTGGGACTTAAAAAAAAGTGTTTATTAAAGTGTTTTAAAGGGATAGTCCAAGGGATAGTTTGGTTGAAAACATTTATGATTTCGTTATTTTCTGTTCAACACAAAAGAAGATTTTTGTTGGAAACTGGTAACCCATCGACATCCATAGAAGAAAACGTATAAATAAATACATAAATACTATGGTTAGTGGTTACAGGTTTCCAGCATATTTCAAAGTATCTTCTTTTGTATTCCGCAGAAAAAAACAAACTTAAACAGGCTTGTGACAAGCCAAGGGTGAGTAAATGATGACAGAATTTGTTATTCATTCATTTTATTCATTTTCTTGTCGGCTTTGTCCCTTTATTAATCCGGGGTCGCCACACCGGAATGAACCGCCAACTTATCCAGCAAGTTTTTACGTAGCGGATGCCCTTCCAGCCGCAACCCATCTTTGGGAAACATCCACACACACTCATACAATACGGACAATTTAGCCTACCCAATTCCCCTGTACCGCATGTCTTTGGACTGTGGGGGAAACTGGAGCACCCTGAGGAAACCCACGCGAAGGCAGGGAGAACATGCAAACTCCACACAGAAACGTCAACTGAGCCGAGGTTCGAACCAGCGACCCAGTGACCTTCTTGCTGTGAGGCGACAGCACTAGGATTTGTTATTTTCGGGTGAACTATGTCTTTAAGCTGTGAACTAAACCAATCAGCTATGAGGAGACAAACGACTAAGCAATTTTTCCTTTGAAATGTATGAATATTTGACCAAAAATAAAATTAAAGAAATAAAACAATATCAACAAGTGGTTTTTGTTGCAGAAAAAAGGGTTATTTGATTTATAAAATGTTGTTCACACTATGACAATTGAAGATCTTTTTACTAAAGGGTTCTTTAGGGAGCTTAAAGGTGCTTCTAAATGGCATCATCATACGCTCTTCTTTATTATCTACAGTACTTTATCTAAGAATACTGCATATCATCATATGCAGTATTCTTCTTTATTGTCCCATATGTCTCCTTTTTCTTTATTCATTTCTTGATTTTTACTCATTGTAAATGACAAAAATTATGGAGAAAAAAAATTATTTGCTGCACTTTATGCTAGAGCAGTGCTTCTCACCCACGTTCCTGGAGGACCACAAACACTGCATGTTTTGCATGTCTCCTTCGTCTGTCACACCCATTACAGGTCTTTCAGTCTCTGCAAATAAGCTGATGATCTGAATCAGGTGTGTTTAGTTGAGACATGGGCTGTTTCTCAATATGCGTTCTTGAGTCCTTGTGTTCTCGTGTGAGGTTATTATTAACTGCCAAAGTTAGGTTCCGTTAAAATACGTGAAGGTCATGTGTACATCAGCAAGAACGCAGCATCTCATTTCTCACAGGACACGTTCTGTGCTCTCATGATCTCCCGAGTTCATTCTTCCAATGTAACCTGACAAGAACGGCCTCCCAAAAACATGAGTCTGTTTTCAGCATTCTTGGAATTAAGAAACAGGCATGGAAAATGTGCAGAGCTGCTGGTCCTCAAGTAACGTGGTTGAGAAACACTGTGCATGAGGGTGGAGCTAAACATTTATTTTAATGCATTTTCTGTACCACCCACTACATTCTGTATAGATATTTCTGACTCATTTAATAGTTGTTTATATTCATAGGGAGTGGCGTTTTAAATCTATTTATTTATATTTTATAATTTAGCATTTATAGCAACACTGTAAGTTATATTTACAATACAACATTTACCTAAAATAATTAAATGAAAGAATTATAGCCTACATGATTAAAATAATACAATACTCACTTTAAACCGTTTTAAGGTAAGTGTGGAACTGTGTTAATGGCCCTTTAGTGGCCTCTGGTGCTTGGTTAAAAACCACTAAACTACACCAGTAACATTTGAAACTAATGATAACATTTGTTCTTGAAGTGCAAATCTCTAGAGAATTGGCATGGTTTTTCGAATTATAAAGCATTGGTGACTGAGATGTTTGCGCGCGCACACACACACACACACACACACACACACACACACACACACACACAAACACAAACACTTATCTGGAGTCCTGGATGGATTCTTTAGGTTAAATCTGTGTGTGGGAATGTGAAGCTTCAGGGAAGTGTGTTTGTGTCTGTTTGGTGAGTGTCAGGGGCCCTGGCTGGAGACGTCCACACCCCAGACAGCACACATACGTTGGGCCGACGTCGGCCGAAGGTCAACACGTCGGCCCCTTTAATTCTAACATCGGTATATGGTCGGCCAAACATACGCATGATCGTTCGGTCGTGTGTTCTATTGTTCCAGCTCAACAAACGTCGGCTCTGCGTCGGTTAACGACCAGAGGCCGACGAAGCACTTCATAAGCACTTGATCTCTCATGCCCATGAAAGAATCCGGCAACATATTTGGTTTACAAGTAAGTTTTTGCGTGCATAATAAATTAGACAAACGCGACATGCATCATGTGAACTGCGTCGGTCGGTCCAGCTTTAAATAGCCTACATTAATGCAGTAAAACTGACCAAAATGCCTACAATACATGATTTCAATTCATTAAAATATAAAAAGTTTTATTGTTATGCTTTAATAATGAAAACGTTGTTTTTTCTGGTGTTAACTGCTGTTTGCTTTTTTTATTGTGGCTTTTTCTAATACATTTTTCCCAGTGTAAAAATCAAGTATGTTCTGCATTTCGGCTGTTTAATTAAAATAAACACCTTTTTACAGAGTGACATCTTTGTTTTATATATACTTGCATTTATATTTATTGGTTATTTATTTTTGACAGTGAATGCACAAATAAAGTGTTTGTTTTGTAACAGTTTAGTAGGCTATAAAGCTCGTCTTAAAGATAATAGCGTATATAAAACTGCTAAATACATTTTAAATTCAAGATATAAAATACAAGGTTATTATTTAAATTGTCTATGGAGTGATCATGTTTATAAATGTAATACTGCAAGACTTTAATGTGCGCGCGCGCGTCTTGCTTCCAACACTGGAGCGGAGAGGATGTTGCTATGGGAAACGAAGCTACAACACGACACGACACCACCTAAAAGACACAACACGACTTCTCTCAGGCTGCCGTTTTGACTGTTTTCAGGTAAGTTTAGTCCCTAAAACAAAGCAAATACTACATAAAACTGTTCCTCACACATTTATTATTGGCAATTGATGAATATTCTGTTGAATATTATGTTATATAAGAGTGGTAAGTCTTCGTAAAAGTCCGTTAGCATATTAGCACTGGTAACGTTAGCGTCGGGGTAATATTACGTTAACTTACTTAATGTTAGCTCTTGTTAAACTTGTTTGTTAAAGTTTTGGCTTTTATTTATTCTTTATGTGTAGATGAGAGGTTTTGTCAATGTTTTATTGAATGCACTCGATATGTAGTCTAAAATACGCATTGTAACGTTACTGTAAAGGACCGTGAATCAAAAGTTCAATCGTGTTTTGATATTTCATGGTATCTTAAACTAAATGTTAAGTAAAAAAGTGTTCTGTGGTTTCAGGAGTGAGAGAATAACCTCCTGCTACAGAAAATATAACTCAAGATTCCTAAATTTCTGAAGGGAGCTGATCACAGAGATACAGGAAAGACAGGTAACTTTAAGCAGATGATTAATTCATATGAATTTCCATTGCACATCATTATGCACATGTTACATGTCTATATATTATGCATCTGTTACTTGTCTTTATTGCAGTTGTTTTAAGAAAGTTTTGACATTGAAACATGTGAGTGGTATTAAATTTCACATCACATGATTCTTCAGAACTTAGTAAATATATAGATTTGCTGCTAATGAAGTAATATTTGTGATTTTCATTTTGTTTAATTTTTTATGATTAATTGATTTATTAAATCTTAGAAAAAAGTTTACACTAAATTATTTGTCATCACATCTGTTTTTAGCATTGATAGCAATCCGAAATGTTTCTTGAGCAGCAAATCAGCACCATTTGATAATCACCATTATATTAGTTCAACCTCAAGCACTAAATCAACATCTTAAAAAAAGATTTCTGAAAGATCAAGTGACACTGAAGACTTGAGTAATGATGCTGAAAATTTAGCTTTACATCATAGCTATGAATTACATGTATATTTACACTGTTCACCCATCCCTTACACCTTAACTCATCCTTAAGTCAATTTAAGCCCTAAATGAATAATTTTTGATTTGTACAGGCATGATATGCAACTTGTATTCAGTCGTTTTGTTTTTTCTTTCTTTTGCTTTTGTTTTCCACATCAACTGAAAAGGAGGTCTAAGTTTAACCTAAGTGCCGTGTTGCTGATGAACATCTTTATATGTAAGTATATTTTTGATTGACTGCCAGACACTTGTCAAACAGTGATGAGCAAACGAATGGCCGTTCTTTTAAAAAGATCAGGGAGATGCAAGTCTGGAGATTAATATACATTTTAATTCAAAATTGATTTATCTGGAAATATTTCATAATGTTTTGAGATATGTGCCCTATATGCATTTAGATGTCCATGCATGTTTAAAATACTTTTAAATTTAACAATGGCTGCAAGTTATAAAAACATAAACAAACACAAAAATGTTAAAGTAAATTGAGAAAACATTTTCATCAGTTTGACAACAGGTAGATCAGCTCCTGACATGTTAACAGATCAGTTTAACTCTTATTAAATTCATTCATTCATTCATTCATTCATTCATTCATTTTCTTTTCTGCTTAGTCCCTTTATTAATCTGGGGTAACCACAGCGGAATGAACTGTCAACTTATCCAGCATATGTTTTACGCAGTGGATGCCCTTCCAGCTGCAAGCCATCACTGGGAAACAACCATATACGCTTGTTCTCACTCATACACTACAGACAATTTAGCCTACCCAATTCACCTGTACCCCATGTCTTTGGACTTGTAGGCAAAACCGGAGCACCCAGAGAAAACCCACCAAACGCAGAGAGAATTTGCAAACTACACACAGAAATGCCTGCTGATCCAGCTGCGGCTCGAGTCAGCATCCTTGCTGTAAGGCAACAGCACTACCTATTGTTCCACCACGTCACGCTCTTATTAAATTATATTTATATAATTTTGTGTTTCAGTACATGCTATTTTGGGAAGACAAAATATATTCATAAGCTCTCAGAAAATTCAATAAGAGAATTCATTCATTCATTTTAAGAGAATTAACTGCACAATTACTTGAAATGCGTGGATGGGATTACATTATTTGTTAACCCAAAGTGAGTTTCTCTTTCTTTGCAGTATTGGATGCCTGATTGCAGTTCAACTCCAAACTCAGTTGGACCAGCTGATCAGTGTCTTCAGTATTACCACAAGCTACTGGGCAGATGTGTGGACAGCTATGAGCCAAACTTGGGACGTTTGGTTTTTAGGTAATACCAGTGACAAAGTATTCAGTAAATTGCTTATAATAAAAGATGCTCACTGCTTACCCCCTTATAGTTAAGTTGTTTGCAGTTTCATTGTTGTAAAAATACCATACTTTTTCCTTTTTTTATCAGCAGGTGTAGAGACCGTCTGGGCAGCAGAAACAAGACAACTAATCATAGTTGAGTTGAGATTAGTATTATTAACTTGACTAGTTTGGTTGCAGACTTGTTCAATACTTAACAATTTGTATAAGTTACAAGATCAATGGTCCTGCTATCAATGTTTGTGTAACTTAAATTCATTACAGTTTAGATACAATCAAATGTCCAAACCATCTCTGAGTGAATGACATCAAGGAAACAGGATCAAAAAGATCATTCAATATAGAATGTTTCATAGGTAACAGCACATCCTTTGTAAAAAATAATTTATTTTTGTGTCATCATCACAAGACAAAATACATTTCAACTGATTTCAGTTGGTTATATTTTTCAGGTCCTCCTGATCATTCTGTTCTCCTGGTTGTGAGGATGTGCAGAGGCTGTATTTGTCAGTGTTAAAAGACTTGTGCAGCTGTATGCAGACATACAAGCAGCCGACAAAGAGTTCTGGAGCAGGACAGACAGGTAGTTCACCGTGGCTAGGCTAGAAGTTTATACTTGGGTGGCCAGAAAGTGGCCTCCGCTATTTTGGAGGGTCCATACAAATACACCAGTGTAAGCTATACTATTGCACAGAAAAAATTAAATGAAAGAATTAATTAATCGGTTGAACACAAAATATTTTAAAGAAAGCTTAAGTATCAAGGTGGCAATATACAGTATGTTACATTGTAGTACATGAGCTGGCTAATACAGATTCGTAAATGTTTAGTTGTTAAGATTAGTTAAATACTATATCCTCTACTTGAGACCTGTTGCATATACAGCTTTAACTGAACTGAATTTAACTAGAACTACACCAGCATTCCAAGTGCTCTAGACTAGCTTTTTGCACTGGTGCGTCTAAAATGTTTGATGGCATTGCATTTAACACTGCAATTTTACATGTTAATTTTTTTTTAAATTACAATCCATATAGGCAATATTGACTTGTAAATGATTAACTAAAATCGGGTCAACACACATTATGGGGATTGTGTGTAGAATTTTGAGGAAATTAATGAATTTAATCCATTTTGAAATAAGACTGAAACATTAAAAATGTGGAAAAAGTAAAGTATCAATACTTTCCGGATGCATTGTATATGGTTTTTAGCGCATTATCAAAGACTTAAAAAAATAGTCCAACATTATTTACAGCAGCAAAAGACCCTCCACATCAAAAGCTACTGGTCAGCTCACGATTCAGCAAACATCTGAAAAACAAATAGCTTATTATGCCTTCACAAGAAATCAGTGTTTTTGAGTCTAATGAAGATAGTACTATTTTATTAAATTATTATTTAGCCTGGCACGTTTACTGTTACAAAATATTTTAAATGTTTCTTAAAACAAAACATATTGTGTTCAATGGGGAAAAAGTAGCTGTTTTTTACACAGAGATAAAAAAACACACATTTCAGAGCAGTAATCACAATACTGTGAAACTGTGATATTTTTATCCAAGATTATACCCTCAGAATTTTTTAATTTATTTTTTTTTCAGTTGGCCTATATTCTGTTTTTCTATGTTCTTGGAAATGCTGCTGTGCATGAAAATGTGACGATATATCCGGTTCTATAGTTAATTCTGAAATAAATCTTAAAATGAAACAATATTTAAAAATGCAATATTTAATGTGTCAGACACTAAATAAACATGTCAATTCATTTATATTAATCTGATTCCTTAACAGGGCAGCACGGTGGCGCAGAGGGTAGCACGTTTGCCTCACAGCAAGAAGGTTGCTGCTTCAAGCTTCGGCTGGGTCAGTTGGCGTTTCTGTGTGAAGTTTGCATGCTCTCCCCGTGTTGGCATGGGTTTCCTCCGGGTGCTCCGGTTTTCCCAAGTCCAAAGACATAGGTGAATTGGGTATGCTAAAATTGACCATAGTGTATAAGTGTGTGTGAATGAGTGTGTATTGGTTACAGCTGGAAGGGCATCCACTGCGTAAAACATAGGCTGGCTAAGTTGGCCTTTCATTCCGCTGTGGTGACCCCAGATTAATAAAGGGACTAAGCCCAAAAGACAATGAATGAATGAATCCTTAACAGTTAAAATTAACCATTTGAGCGTGCTTAGTTTAGGGTATGTTGTGCCATTAAATTGTCAATAGGTTTTATTTTTTTCTACATTTTAAATCCGCTTTAGCTTTCTTCTTTCCTATAAACCTGGAAATATAAAATATATATTTTTGGTTTTTAACAAATTGCTTATTTTATTTTTAGATTGGTGTACGCTGATGGTCTGCTGAGAATTCTGCTGAGTTGAAGGGATCCTCCTGTCAGACAACCTCTCCAAAGTACAATAGGACTAGTAAGTAACATCTTAAACATACACTACTGTTTAAAGCTTTTAGGTTGGTATGGTAAATTCTCTTCTGATAGTGTCAGCTTTATTTAATTAATACAGTCAAGCAGTAATACTGTGAATTTAATACAATGTATATAATTAATGGTGTCACATGATCCTTCTGAAAAAATAGTATTCCAATGTACTGATTCTCTCCTCAAGCTGTTTTTTTATATATAAAACATTTTAAATAAACATATTTTTAGTATTCTTGATGTATGAAAAGTTTATTTTTAAAAGCATAGTATTTATTTGAAAAAAAAAAAAGTTTGCTCTTTGATGATTGCTAGCAATCAGACATGTTTCTTTAGAACAAAAAGAATTTGTGGAAAAAAAGTATTCTCACTGAGCATTGTACAACTGTGGTCAACACGTCATTTAAGTTTTCAAATAAGCCTAAAAGACCTGATTAGCTGCATAAGGTGCATTTAATTAGAGAGTTGAATATATCATTTCTTTTTATATCCTCCTCTATAGCCTACAAATAATAGAAGTTGTTTGCTGAAAAACCTTTTTGTAGCAGAAATAAAGCAATGATTAGGCTCACCCGGATTTTTCGCAGAACTCCGCAGATATTTAGCCTATCATTATTTTCTGTTTATTTACTTGAGTAAATGTGTGTAAATCTATATTTATTCAGTTTTTTTATTAATTTCAGTAATATTATTGACTAATGTGAAAATGTTCATCTAATTTATGTACAGTGAGGTTTGTACAGTAATGTTTTCTGTCTTACTAGATATGTTACATGAAAAACTTGCTTTATTTACCAAATAAAGTGAATCTAATTGGATTTGCATTTTAAACATTAAATAAAACTTTAAAATATATTATTTTTTATTTCATATATTAAGGTTTTAGTTATGATACTCCCAAAATAATTCCGCAGAAATCCGCAGACTTCCACCAAAATTTTCAGCAGAAATAGCAAAAAACATCCGCAGATTCCTCCTGGCCCTAGCTATGATATATTAAATGTGGTGTACAGTGTGACATTTTAGTTGACGAAACTTAGTTTAATTTGCATGTAATGTGGTATCTGAAGATTTGACATATATTTAGAGACACATTTATACTAACACAATGATACTAAAAACCAAAAAAAAAAACATTCATTATGATTTCACAAGGAATTTAACTTTCAAATGGCTTTTCTGAAAATTAGTGCTCAGACACACTCTTTAAGTTTAAATTAAATTACACATTTTAGCTAGTCACTTGTATAACACATACTCCAGTTATATGTCATGAAACAAATAATTTATATTTGTGGTAATATAAACTGCTCAAATGCTAATCTTTCTTCTTTTGGTTTCTTGCTTTATTTAAGGGTTCCCACTACAAGGATTAGATATGGCTACTGCAGTCCCGGTTTGGGCCAGCCTCACTTGTGAAGACTAAAGATGAAGACAACATACAAGAACAATTTCGAGGATGGCGACATACTTTTTATTCCACCTATATATCCCCTTTTAAGTGTAAGCAACATTCCACAAGATAAAACAAAAGTAAATGACAGGTTATTTCTTTTCATTTTGTCTGTTTTCTTGGAACATTGTACACAATTTACAACCAGTTTTATTTATATAAATATAGGTCAGAGCAAGAAAATGTTATGTTTTCTTCTGGAGAAAGTCTTATTTCTTTTATTTCGGCTAGAATAAAAACAGTTTTGAATTTTTTAAAAAACATTTTAAGGTCAATATTATTAGCCCCTTTAAGCAATTTTTTTCGACTGTCTACAGAACAAACCATCGATATACAATAACTTGCCTAATTACCCTAACCTGTCTAGTTAAGCTAATTAACCTAATTAAGCCTTTAAATGTCACTTTAAGCTGTATAGAAGTGTCTTGAAAATATCTAGTCAAATATTATTTACTCGGTTATTAGAAATGAGTTATTAAAACTATTGTGATTAGAAATGTGTTAAAAAATATTTCCGTTAAACAGAAATTAAGGGATTATATATATATATTTATATATATATATATATATATATATATATATATATATATATATATATATATATATATATATATATATATATATATATATATATATAGAATGACAAAATCTGTTTTGTGTCGTGCATTAGAGTTTGCCTAAAAAAAACTGGTTATCTCTGAGAAGTAATGTTATTTTATATTATTGATGTGTTATTAGTTCAGAGGAGATTGCAAATTGTTGAATGCCATTTATAAAAAAAAATGTAAAAAAAAATTGACTACAGACTTTAATAAAATTTTATCAGACAATTATTTTAATTTGTATGATTTTATTTACTACTGTAAATATTGTTTGCTTGGTATTTATTTTGTGTTTGTGTACTCTTGTTTTATTGTAACTCCCTGAAGAAAGTCTTTTGGATACTGAACACATGACTGGTATTATCTTGTATTTTAAAATTATAGTCTTGGAAACATGCATTTTCTTTAACACTATTTAAGAAATTATAAGCATTATAACATGTGCTTACACAAGTGATTTGTGTTTTTACTATAGTAAACTATAGTCACCCTTAGTGTACATGTTTTGAAGTACTTGTAAATATTCCTATGGTCTTAATGTAAATGCTGCACTTTGTATTTAAAATCTTTATTGCACAGTATTTCAGCCATGGTTATAGTACAACTTGTTGGTTTTGTTTTAAACGTAGTAAAACATGGTTATGTGTGATAAAAGTATGTTAATCTATTTGTATGTTTGTGAAAAATATTAATAAATCTTCAACTGTTATTGAGAGTGGTGTGTCATGTTTATTATAAATAAGCAGCTGCTGCAGCTAGTGGTCCATAAGTATGGAGCAAAACGCCTGAGAACAGCGCCTCCGCGGAGCGGCCGGCATTTCCGGTTGCGTCGTCCTAACATCGGCCGGACAGCGTTTCCGATCATTTGCCGACGTCGCGGCGACATTTTGCCAATTAGCAAACGCTCCCTGAGCGACATCGCGCCGATGGAATTTTGAAAGTCGGCACGACGTCGGCCCAACGTATGTGTGCTGTCTGGGACTGGAAGAGGCCTGTGACATCTGGGATGACATCCTTCCTTAATGTAAACAGCATTGTGTCAGGCCATATCTGCTTCGAAACATTAACCTCTGTGTTATGATGCAGGTCAGTTTCGGGTCAGTATTGGTTAACTTAGAATTTACTTTATTAAAATGTTTAATTTGATAATTATATTTACAACCCCAGCCAACAGCCCAACCCAGCAAAAAACAAAAACAAACAAAATCCAAACCCTCACCCCCAACCAAACAACTAAACATAGGTAGTAACTTAATTTTACCCAAACGTATCCCAGATAGCAAAATGACATAATTTCAACCTAAAATCAACGTTTCTTTTGATATTTGTACATTCTTTTCAGAAATCAAGGTTCTCACAAACTTAAAACCCTACAGTGGGCGAGAGAGCTTAACTTGCTGCAATTTAAGAAAACACATGCAATTACAAAAAACACCAGCAAATTAAGAAATGGTCTTTATCCGTTTGACAGGAGACGTGTTGCAAATCCTCACAACACAAACACATTTTTAAAAAAATGTTTCAAGAGGACCCTAAAACGTGACGGACCTATTTAGGTTATTGCTATTTAGGCTAATAAAATACAAAACAAAACAAAGGAACCAGGCTATTAAAATAAACAAACAAAAAAGCTCACCTTTTTCAAGGATCACCTACAACTTCACTGAGCAATAGTGCCTGTCACGTCAGTGTCTGTCACGTTTGGGTCCCCTTGAAACATTTCCGCTGTGTTCCATTATTTTTGCAAGTGTTGTGAGAAAATACATTGCGTTTTCCTAACTTGTTGGCGTTGTGAGAAAATGTAGGGCGTTTTATTCATTTGCTTGCGTTGTGGGGAAATGCAGCGCGTTATTAATATGCAAGTGTTGTGAGGATGAAGATATTTTGTCAATGTTCATGTTTACTTAAATTGCAGGATGTTAAGCTAACTCGGCCACCGTAAAAAAAAAAAAAAAAAAAAAAAAAAAAAAAAAAAAAAAAAAATATATATATATATATATATATATATATATATATATATACACACACACACACACACACACAAAGAATTTTAAAAGGTGTCAGCTTAGTAGACCTTTATAGTGATTTAAATGAATAAATAGCAAAATAAAAAACCGAATAAACATTTTATATCCATTTTGAATATAAAAAAGTTCTATAATGTTATAATGGCTACATTGATTCATTGATTAAAAAAAAACATATACACTCACCGAAAAAATCACGAACAGCTGGAAAAATCATGTGTTCAATGAGATTGGGGTAAAGTTAAACAAGAAAAAGGTACCTGTCGCCCTCTGCTGTTGATAATGCATCATCACCGCTATAATCTGCAGAATGAGAAGATACTGGATACAAACTGATACTGTTTGTAAATCTTGAAGATATATGCAAATACATGAATTAAAAAGCAGTGTTTTTACATTTAACTTAAATGTATTATGACTAAATATGTATTTATATTTACCTGGCTGGAACTAGACTGTAAAAAAAGTTTACTTAACTCAAAATTGTAAGTCAATTGCTGCAGAGCCGTACATGACTTAAATTGAGTCAACTCAGAAAAGCTCTAAAGCAGGTTGCCTTACAAGTTTGAGTTGAGTCAACTTTTATTTTTACAGTATAGAGTGTTCTTTCTTTTCCTCAGTCTTTAGGGAGGCAAATAAATGCACTAAAACATGTCTCTTCCTCTCTCTGACTCTACTAGCAACATCTTTCCTAGAAATCTTTCCTATATCCAATTCATTTCCATTTCTCCTTTTTCTCCCTTAACATTTCCTCATTTCCTTTCCCATTTCCTCTTTTATTTCTTTGTTTATTATCCTTGTTCCTTTCCTTCAATTTCTTTGTTTTCTTTCTTTCCGAGTTCCACATTTCTTTCTTTTCTTTACCAGTTTCCTCTATATATTCAGATTTCATTGCCCCCAAACTGCCTTATTGTTTTCATCTTTTTCTTTCTTTCTTTCTTTCTTTCTTTCTTTCTTTCTTTCTTTCTTTCTTTCTTTCTTTCTTTCTTTCTTTCTTTCTTTCTTTCTTTCTTTCTTTCTTTCCTCTAATGTCAGTGAGACGCTGCATATATGAGGTTATCATTTCACATATCAAAAGCACAATCTCTTTTTATATTCTGATGCAACAGACTATTTGAGCACACATATATTCACACACTTTAATTCTAATCTAGCAACACGCACAGCTCATCTTTCACACTCAAATGAAGTGGTGTGTGTGTGTGTGTGTGTGTGTGTGTGTGTGTGTGTGTGTGTGTGATGTCTGGGGTAAATTATACGGTACATTTTACAGTATGCTTGAAGTCAGGTTGATTATACAACTGTGTTGTTATGCATGTATGCTTGTGAAAATGTCAGCACAATGATGGTTTCCAGTGTATGAAGAGTGTTAAAATGCTTTTTGAAAGGGCATCATTAATGCCATAAGTCAGATATTAAGCCATTGTAGGTGTATTTAGTGGCAAGATAAAAAAACGAAAAATAAATCATATGGAAATCACTCCTTTTAGTTGATGTGTGTGTGTGTGTGTGTGTGTGTGTGTGTGTGTGTGTGTGTGTGTGTGTGTGTGTGTGTGTGTGTGTGTGTTCTCCACATTTACATCAAACCACCAGAGTTTCCTGTCAAAATCTGTTTGAAGGATTTTACTGTGTTATGTGATGGATTTAACGCACAGCTGTCCATCATTTGTCATTTTTGACAGACAGCTGATGGATTCTGACCAGCTTTGTCACATTTGAAGAGATAGTTTATATGAAAAACGTGCTAAGAAGAATTAAATGTTTTTTTTTCATATCATACAAAAATATTAAATATAAGCAGAGTTCAGATGCAAAAACTGTGTATATGTGTAACTGCGAATGTATATCCATGTGTTTATATAAATATATATATGGATTTTGATGTGTAATGTTGTCAATTTCGACTTTCCTCCTGCAGTTCTGTTTATTTCTTGAAATTGTGACTTTTTGCAAATATGTTTATATTTTTTCACAATTCTTTCCTATTTGCAGTTCAGATTGTTTTTAAAGAACCAAAAAGTTCTGCAACCCTATTTCTCAAATTGTGAGTTTCAATTTTGACAATTTATTGCAATTTCTGATTATATCTCCCTTAAAAAAAATAAATGTAAAGAATTTACTGTAAATCTACTTTTTTTTTTTTTTACAATATTAGTGGTTGCCAGTAATTCTGTAAAATGTACAAGTGCACTGTAAATTCACAATAGCAAACTTGCGTTAGTTTTACAGCACAACTGTAATAAATAATTTACAGTGTGCTTGTAAATTTTTTACAGTAATACTGTAAAAATGGATGGTAATTCTGTAAGAATTTCCAGTAATATTCTAAAATTTACAAGTTCACTGTAAATTCACAATTACAAATTTGATATCGTTTTACAGCGCAGTTGTAATAATTTACAGAGCACTTGTAAAGTTTGCCAGTAACTCTGAAAAATAGCTGGTAATACTGTAAAAATTGCCAGTAATACTGAAATGTTCCCAAGTTCACTGTAAATTCACAATTACAAATTTGCTGTAGTTTACTGCACAGCTGTAATAATAATAATTTACAGTGCACTTGTAAGGTTTGCCAGTATTAAATAGCAGTAATAGAGTAAAAATAGCAATATTGTAAATTTTACAGCATTTTTTTTTTACAGAATAACTTTACTTTTTGGAATTCTGACTTTTATATCTTATAAAATGTAATATTTTCCTTAGGATTCTAAGTTGTAACTTGTGATTCTGATTGTTATTTTTTAAAATGCCAACTTTATTTCTAAAACTGAGAATTTATTTCTTCTAATTTTGAGATGAAATGTTCGAAAAAAGGTATTTAACTCGAAATTGCAAAATAAGTCAAAATTGTAATCGTAATTATTATTTTTGTTTCTATCAAGCTAATTAACTATTGTTTTTTTTATTTTAAATATGTATTATTTCTAGACCAACTAACATTCCTTACCGCAAATCACACTTTCAAGCATTTTTTGATTTCTTCTTTTATATTTCTTCCTTCAGACAGAAAAATAACAATAATAATGATATATTTCAAGAGGCTGCAAAAGTAAATGGTGTATAACAAGAATCAGTTTTGGTTATCTTTGAGTACATCTTTCAGTTTACACTGGTTGTTGCTATTCCAACAGGCTTTAATAGTATTCAATAATACAGACATTGTTCTTATTTTTATTTTTTTTCTTTAAATCTATTTGCAATCAGAAAGTTACTCAGAAATGCAGACAACCATTGTGGTTTTCGAACAGAAAAACGCAAAATAAAATGTCCCACAAAGAAAAAAAAAAACAAAAAAAAAAACGACGACACATTCTTCAACACTCTGAAGCATCCGAAGGCAGTCCGGTCTGCGTTCGCAAGTCAACAATTTTAAATTTCTCCGTTCACAAATGATCACAAAAGCATACCCACAATCCTTAGCTGCAATTTTTTCATCAGACAGGCTTAGTGTATAAGTCAGTTTTGTTCTGATGCGTACTTGATAGGAATATTGTGTGCATGTGTGTGAATCGCTGAAGCTCATCTATTTGGTCACAACCATTCTTTAACACCCTGTTTTTATCAGTCAAGGAGAGGGAGGAGCAACTATCTTAAGGGATGGGCCAGCTCTTATAGCTCCGCCCCATATTATCATCACCACGTCCCCATCTCTGATAAATTCACCTTCAGCTCTGCCTCCAGCACTTATAGCCCCTCCTCCAGTTCAAATAGCCCCGCCTACACCTCTTATAGCCCCGCCTCCTCTCTCTCTTTGTCGTACCCTCTTAAATCCGATAAGGACAGTGTTCCAGTTTTCAATTCTAGAACAATTGTTGTTAAGTGTGGTTGGCGTCCAGCTCTTCACTGCTGCGGTTCAGGGTCGAGTCACTGGACGGGATGGTTTTGCTGATGCGGTCTAGAGTGTCTGCGCTGGTGGACTGTTTGGATTGAACTTTTCCGATTTCCTCCAGAGCGCTGGCCAAAGAGTCCAAATCACCTTGTTCCTGATGCTGAGCTTCCCATAAACTCAAAATGACAGCAGACGGGCTCGTCTGGCGTGCAAAATAACCAAGGTTTCTGTTTAGGTGAAAAAAAAAACAATGAGCTGAAGTTGAATTAACAACAAGAAAATGATTGTGATTGTAAAAACATTTAACTATTTTAAGTACACATTATGTAGAATTTTATATAAATTTAGGATTAAAAAAAATTGAAACCGATCAAACTCCAATAATATAAAACATATTAGTAGCACAGTACATACATTTTTTTAAAATGTTGTTTACATATGTTAAATACATATGTTTTACATATGTATTACATATGTTCAAGTTAACCATGAATTTATATACACTATAAAACTAATTTACCCAACATTAAATAAAAAAAACTGCTTAATTTCAAGTAGAAATTAATGCCAACTTGAAAATAAGAAACATATTATAATATGTACTACATTTTTACATATTATAATACATTTCTTATTTTCAAGTTGACCAAGAAATGTTTAATCTATATGACTGAAAACAAAAAATTTCTAGGTTTATGGTCATTTGATATTTCGGTGCATTGACGATGCTTTTCATAAACAATTTGAAATTTTACACAGCAACCCAATAATTCTTGTATTAAAATGTATTATTTATGAATTTGTTTATATATTATTTGTAAAACAATTTTGTCCTTTAATACAAGAGTCAGATATATGATATGGACCTTTAATTTTACCTGCTTAAAAAAACGCTTCTTTTGAATGCATCAAACAAAGCCCAAGTACATGCACAGAACAACATGAGCATTTAAAGCGAATTAACAAATGTAAATATCATCCCGTTTCCTCTTTGAGCGTTGTTGATTGAGTCCCTAAATGCCTATGAATGATCATGTGCTCAACAGAAAAGGCTCTAACAGTCAGCACGGCTCTGGCGCTGTTCAGCAAACAGTGACACAGACACTAATGTTAAGTGGAGAAAACTTGCTTTGCAGACATGCTCGTGTCTGGATTTACAAGTAACATTATTGTCGTAACAGCCAGTAGAGGAGATAAAACGTTACCTCACGAACATGCCAGAAGGTCAAAGCGGCCAAAGAAAAAAAGAGAGTTTACAGCTTTCATTTTTTCCTAGCTGGGATTTGATGTACTTCCCTGTCAGAGAAAGACTGTCCAGCAAACTCACAAGCAGTGAATTGTGCACAGTTGTCTGTGTTTAAGTAGTTGAAGTTTTAATTACTCACTGTCTCCTCCCTCGCCATAGTAAGCTTCCTCCATATAATACATATGTGATAAACAATGTCAATACATAATAACCGGTTATTTTTATAACTTAACTGATAGTAGCGAATTGTTCACGTTTGCTTTGTGGTACATTGAAGAAACAATGAATTTTGACACCCCTAGTATATATGTAAATACACAATGAATCAAAAAGTATTACATTTTAACATAATTTAAGTTTAAGGTTATATTTACTTTTAATTTATAGAAATTATACATTTTAAATAAAATTAATTCATCGAGGAACATTTATCTTCGAAACAGCTCTATATTTATAAATTAATATAAAACATTTCTTTTATAATATACATTTCTTTAACAATATATATTGTAAAAAATGGTTAAATTATTATTCATATATATTATATAAGTTTATTTTCATATTTTATTGTGCTAAACTACAAGGTTTGGTTATATAAATTCATATTATTTTGCAGAGACTCTGAATTATTACACTCTATTGCGAGGATTCTCATCTTGCATAACTTTCAATTTAATAACGTTATCCTATAAAGCCTGCATGCCCCGACAACATATCAAAATGGTTAAATTAGTTTATAAAAGCGAGAAGGATATTAAAGAAGTTTTGCTGGAAGAAAATCAACCCATCTTTGAGACATAATTGAATCACAGAAGCGGAAATCACAGTCTGCAGGTGTGTCTTAAAGAAGCATAAATAAATCCTTTTTTTTGCATCCATATTGAATGTACCTGGGTTTTATCTACAGAAGTAGGTCGTATGATGACTTCAGACTGACCTTCCGATAATTTAGCATTTGCCAATGAAGTTAAAACGCTAAAATTGAGAAAATTAACCTTCATTTGGTAGGCTGATGTAGCATGCTCATTTCAATATAACTCATTTAAATGTTATTTTCTCATATTTACTTTATTTTTTTCTTCTCAAATGTCTTACTGTACATACACAAATTTGAAAGTCTTATTAATATATTTTAAATGTTTTTTTTAACATGTTAATTTATACCAAACTAACTTAAAACTTCAAGTTAAATCTCATATAACTTGAAAACAGACACACTCCTTGCTCTACAAACATTTGTGTTTATCTTTATATAAATTTATATTAAAAATATTTTTATATTTATCTAAAAATAAAATAATATAATTACAAAACATACATAACGGCATAAAAATAGCATAACAAGCTGTTTTTAATGGCTAAAAACCATTGTAAGTAATTAAGACCAGATGTCACGAGGTTGCAATGGCTGTGTCCACTAATACATTTTAGTTTAGTTTAGTTTATTTGTTTACAGGGTCAATGTACATTAATAACTGTAAAATGTGCCAGATTTAGCCAAGAATGGCTATATTTTTCAACTGTAGACCCCTTACAGAATGTTCTAAAGTCCCACCTAAAATAGAAGGACAGCATTAAACATTAAACATACTTTTACTGATAAAATACAGTTAAAAAAAGTAAAAAAACAAGAACAGACTGATGGCAGCAGAAGCCAAAGACAACAGTACAAATGTGTCAAGAATACAGTACTAATGCTGACAATGTTGATTTGCCATTAATCAATTTTTAACATGAGATTGAAAAGAACGAAAAGTGAGTGATCTTCTAATTGTTGGTGGGGTGGAGTTCCAATCCTTAGCAGCTTTCACTGAAAATACCGACTGACTGAATTTACTTGTTTTGAGAGAAGAATAAGGTTGATACGTTATGAAATAAAAACATGTTTTCATGACTTTGGAGATTATGGAGATAAGTCATTATTTTCACTAAAGTTACCGCCAATTTGGAATTTTGTAGTTCTAGTGTACCTCATATAGGTGAGTAAAGCTTGACAAACCATCTTAATAGCATACACCCCTTCCTCTCTTATGCACCAGGCACTTCTATTTTTCTGTTTGTACAGATAACTTTTTTTAAATATATATAAATAATATATATTTTAAATAAATAAATAAATAAATAAATAAATATATATATATATATATATATATATATATATATATATATATATATATATATATATATATATATATATATATATATATATATATATATATATTTTTTTTTTTTTTTTTTTTTTTTTTTTTTTTTTTTGATACTTTGTAGTTTTTTTCTCTACAGCCACATACTCTATATCAAAAGTCTTTTAAAAAAAATTTCAGTTTCTATTGCATTTATATTTCTCCAAAATGTCGATTCTTCTTGTTGTTATTTTTTTTTATAGTCACGAGTGGTTGTTTAAGCATTTCACTGCATATCATACTGTGACAAATAAAATTGGAATTTGATTATTTGCAGGCTTTCATTTTCATAGGTTCGAGTGGTTTTGAAAACCACTCTCTGCTGAAAAAGTCTACGATTTGGCCCTTATGAGCTAATTTTTGACAGTATGCCATCAGAAAATTTGAAAATAACTAAAAGAAGAAGGCTTTACGACAAATGCAACTATTATTATTCAAATGGATAAATTCTGACTGTGGAAGTGTGCTGGCCAGTGTGTTATTTACCTACAGGCTACGGTTTAAAAAAACAAAAACATTTTTAATAATGGATGACAATAAATTAGTATTTAAAAATAAGTATTTTTACATATTTCTAAAATTCTAATATTATTACATTATTTATAAAACTGTAATAACGTTTAGTTTAAATGCACATTTGTAAACATAAAATAGTGTGGTAAGCACTTTTACAAAAATGTAGAACATATTTTTGTTAAATCAAAAAGTGCAGTAATGATAACCAATGACAAAGACAAGCGAATCCAGCAAAAAATTGTGCTTACCATCCCTTTTAAGAGGCTGGATACATGCCTTCTTCACCTATAGTGTATTCTTTTAACTTCACCATTACCAAGTTCATCATTAATATAGTACTTAAGTTGATTAAGACTTTATTTGCTAAAACATTTGTATTCGTTTTTATAAATCAAGTTTTGTTTTGCAAATGAACCCTTCAAATGTGATTTGTTGATTTTCCAGGAGCATTTGGCCTCCAGCAGGGGGCAGTAACACGCTTTCCAGCTGCTGCACTGCAGCTCTCTGGGTAATTGCCCTCTGCGCTGTTTAGACGAGCTTGCACATCCTCAGAAGGTAATTGCAGAAATCCGCTTAACAAGGAGGAGACATTCTCATTACACACTGCCCGGGGCTCTGACCAGCTAGAAAATTCCCCCTAAATCCTTCTGTCCGACTCTTCCAGCCTCATTTCAAAAACAACTCTGTCTTTCATCCCTGGCGAAAATATTATAAAAGTAAACCCACATCACGATAGAAAGTTTTTATTCATCCTCCGTTGCACTGAAGCGGATAAACATGCCGTAGAGTTTGAACTCAAGATTTCAGGACGGTTTGATCGCAGACTTTGTGTTTTCTCGTTTAAAAAAATAAAATAAAAAAACATCATGAGAAATTGAAGTAAAATGGGAAAAATAGGCATAGTGGACTAGATGGTTGTTAGACGGACATTAAGAGTGAAACATAATTGTACATTTGTTATTAGTATTAGTAGTGCTAAAAGTAGTTGTGCTGCTTAATTTTTTGTGTGTGTAAATCAGGACAGACCTCCTCTCTCCATTTCATCGCTACTATATTTCATTTTAACAGGAATTTCATTTTTATGTCTTTTTTATGTCTTCAGTATTGTTGACTGAAACTTTATAGTTATGCTTGTAAAAGTTATTTTTATTTTATTCTGCATAGTACTGTCACAATGACCAGTGATCCAGGCTTGTAGATCGCTGGAAACATTCACTCTCACTGGATAGGACTTTAAATCTGTCACCATATGGACTACAAAACCTGTCATGCACCACACACT